GCCGTTTTGCGCCGCATGATGGGCCGTATTAAGGGAAAAGTTTAGGAATTCCTTCGAAACTGCGACGAATAATTCGTTTCGTATTTTTTTTTTTCAAAAATATAAGAAACACACAGTTTGAGTGAAAACCCTTTTCAGATCTGTTATTTCAAATCCGAAATAGACACAAATGATGTTGTTCGATTACTTAGTGGGTCATGCTTTATCTGAAACAATCTGAAGCATCACTGAAGTTCTTGAAACTTCTTTCAAGTTCCTGCCATTTTCTTGAAGTTAATGGAACTCCTGAAGATCTCTGATCATCATCGGCATATTACTGAAGTTTTTCAAACTGCTCTGTAGTTCTCGAAACTTACCGTTGAAGATATTTAAAGCTCCCCAAAGTTCTGGAATTTTCTGACGTTCTCGGAAACTTCGAAACTTCTTTGAAGGTTGTTTGAATTATATTTTTACAGGTAATTTGAGCATGCTTTTTCTTTCAATTTGACGAAATTGTTTTCATGATGGTTCAGGCAACATTATTTCACCTACAGGAGCGCATATTGAAAATTGGGATCATACCAAAAAACGTTAAGAGATTTAAGTACCTGTTTATATAAAAGCGCATGAGTGCTCATGAGGCATCCAAAATAAAATCATACTTTTTGTGTATCTTGGATACATCTTAGTTTATATCTGATGAGCACAAAACGTCATTTATTTCACTTTTGATGGCGGATATTTTTTTAAATAGTTTCGATTCTGAATTTGTTAAAGGCGCGGATTAAATCTGAATGAAGACAAAACATTTCTTAAAGTGTCTTTTAGAACTGCAATTTAACTCATTTAAGTGCATAGTAACCTGTATCGGCATTCAAGAATTCCCTTATGCCTTTTCGAGTGCAGCTTTGATCAGAGGAGCGCATATAGATCAAAATTTATGCGACCCATTAGTATTGATTAGATATAATGAGCATTCGGAGCTGATTACTCATAGGGTAACCATGACAGGCCTGTTTATGATTCTAGTGTCTGGTAATTATCTTTTACCGCTTATAGAAAGTGTTCTTATTGATTTACACATTTATTACAGCTTATATTTATTCTAAACTTTTCAAAGATTTATCAAAATATTAATTTAAGGAACGTTAATAACGGGTGATAGCTAAAAAATGAGAATAGCTTCAACTCTCTCATACCAAACCACAAATGTCCACACAAAATATACAGCTTACGAAAAACAATGCTTTCTCTCTCCACAAAACTATAGATTTTTTTTTTTATTTTTTTTTTAAAATGAGTTCAAAATGGCATCAAAGCAAGAAGCACTTCGTGAGCGCATTGTACAGTTCTTCAAAACACACGAAAATCGTTGGAAAAAGTTTACGGTGGATCATTTCACATCAGAGGATGCACAAATTTCTATTGTTTATTGTATTCTGGCATCCTTGACAATAGTTTGGAAGAGGGGTAGTGGAAATCAGCCAAAATAATGAACAAAAAAAGGACTTCGATCGCTACAAAATACAAAAAAGATTCGATAAGTCAGCGGGACGCCGCAAAAAAGTACAAGTGAACGCTACCTCACATCTGTAAAACGTTGAAAAGAATGGGAATAGTTTTTCGAAAGAATTCAAGAGCTCCAGAATACACCGATCAACATATTTCGAACGTGAAAACCCAATGCCGTTGGATGACAAGAAATTACTCAGAAAAATGTCTCGTTTTGGATGATGAAAGTTACTTTCTCCGCTCAAAATCTCACATTCCCGAAATTGATCGATATTATTCAAATAATAGTTCTACAACATCTCCAAATATAAGATTCAAGTTCAAACATTATTTTGAACAGAAAGTGATGCTATATATCGTCATATCGGAGAGAGGAATTTCTAAGTCATGGTTCAAGCCTAGTGGTTTTGCTATCAACCAAGAAGTGTACCAAAATCAATGTTTGAAGGAAATATTGATTCCATATCTTCAAATATATCACACACACGGAAACTACGTGTTTTGGTCAGATAAATCATCATCGCATTATGCTAAGAAAACAGTAACCTTCTTGGAAAATCAAAATATCCCATATGTACCAAAAATTCGGAATCCAACAAGCTTGCCTCACTGTCGCCCAATTGAAGATTTTTTTTTATGGAAATTGAAAGGCCAAACATTGTAATCAGCTAATAAACCGAATCAAAAGTTGCAGTCGGAAAAACCAATTTAATTGCTGTACAATAGACTGATGCAAAACTTGAAATTTTCGTTCCACAGTGCTCAAACGGTTCCAAATTGGGCCCTGATTAGCCTCCCAAAATTTGAACTCATATAGTGAGAAACTGACTTGGCACAAACCATTTGAAGTTTATATGGGAATTACTATGGAGAAACCATAATTCTGGTTCATATCGATCTCAAAATTCACCAGTTCACTCTACTTTAGAAAATGATAGCTGATAGCTGATAGCTGTTGAAAATCTTCTCAGCTACAATTTTGTTGAAGACCACTTTTCGATCAAATGTAAGGAACACAAATTATTAATGATTCGAGTCACTGATGTCTTATGATAGTACTCAATCAACTGTTCAGCAGGCAACATTGGTGTTTATGGCGCGTGGAATAGAGTTGCTTAATCTTGCCATAAGATTATCAATCTCTTAAACAATTAATAACTATTTAATTTGACGTTTGGCTGAAAAACGATTTTCTGCAAAGTTGTAGCTTATAAAAATTCTCATAAGAATAGAAATAGAATTTGTTAACAGTACAATATGTAAAAAGGCAAGAAGACAATGAACAAGAAGTTTTGTTTTCCATAGTAATTTCTATATAAACTTCAAATGGTTTGTGCCAAGTCAGTTTCTTATCAAATGAGTTAAAACTTTCGGAGGCTAATCAGGACCCGATTTGAAACCGATTGAACACTGTGGAGCGAAAATTTCAAATTTTGCATCAGTCTACTGTACAACACTCATGTTCTCACATCATGACAAAGCTACGTCAAACAGCTGATAACGGACCTTATTCAAACGTTCATTGATTTCCTTTTTCTAGAAACGTAGGGGTTTTGATCTAATTTCCGTCCTACTAAGCACAACCCGCGCTTTACCTCTCTTTTCTGAACGAGTTTGAACGAAAAATGGAATATTTTTGTCAAAGATGATTTCTAAATTTATTCACCTTTCCATACGTAACGTTGGATTTGATAAAGAGTCACAAATTGTTGAGATATTTTTTAAAATCTAACACTGCTTCTTGATTCTAAATTCGTTCTACGAGTTTAAATTCCGTCATAACGCATTGAAACGCCATTAGATTTCCTTCGTCCTATGGATAAACGTAGGAAAAGGGGAATCGCTAGGAGCGCTTCTTTTGTTTTGAGAACAATGAGCGTAAATATTCATACAATGCGCTCTAACAGGATTTATGTTGTAGCTAATGAACTAACGCTAAGAGATGAACTAGCCTCAGGCTAAAAATCTCTAAAATAAAGATTAAAAAAAAAAAACACAAAAATGAACTAACGCATCGGAACAAACCTATTATTGATTTGTGCACGGTGAAATCCTTGATATTATTGATCTTTTCTGATCGATAGAACGGAAATGGGCGATTTCGACGAAGTAGTGCTCATGTGTTTTTTCATGAGCCCAAATGAACATTCTCATTTTTTAGTTCTCACCCGTTATCTGCAGTTATTTATGAAATTAGAAAATTGTTGTGATGTGCCATTCATACAAAATTGGGTTTCATTATATAATATTCTGCTTGAGCTTACTGACAGTAATAACAGAGTAGCATCCAAGGACGTAGCCAGTTTTCGAGCTAGGGAGGGGCGAAAAAAAATTACTATGGAAAATTTGGCCGAATCGATAGGTAGGGTCCAGGTGTGGGAGCTGCCTCCCTGGCGTCGGTAACAAACCAAAGCCGAATGCCAATTCACCGAACACCTTTGTGTTGCTGAGTTTAGGGGGGGGGGAGTTGTCCCCCTCTGGCTACGCCTATGGTAGCATCTATGGGTGGTTAACCAAGCTCCAGAGTGTCATACATTTTGATTATAAGTTTTCTATAATATTAAAAATTTCGTCATTCAAGCAAGAATGGCATGAAATCCACGTCCAAGTGTTGAGCACAAGTTGTCAAACGTCATTGTTGTCATAGTTAATGTAATGTATTAATAGAGGTCTTTAATTTTTATCAATTTGGTTATCTTTATACTTTTTTTTCAGATTAACATTACGAGGCTCTGCAACTTAGTGGTTTCCGTTTCTGCTAGCTGGCCAGAATGTCGTGAGATCAGTCAAATGCTCTTTTCCTTCTTCATGTTTGTCACAATGCCCAGTGCTCTATCCCCATTAGATTTAAGATGGTTTCACTGAGGAAACCTTACAGTATGAGATCCATATCTCAGTATCATTTTGAAATTTCAAGACAACAACCGCTCCCAATGCAGCCCAATAACCCAACCCGACAACACAACTTAGTTTCTTATGGTGATGGATGGATGCCAAAATTGATAGAATCCACAAATTGGGGCTATCATGGATAATTTACAAGGCAAATCAGTCATGAAAATGGCCATTTGTGGATTCTATCCATCTTGTCTTTAACAACGATTGTCAAACGAGTCATACTTTTTGCACCGAAAAAGTCACGAGAACAACAACAGTGTTCAAGATATTAAAGTTATTATCTGGTATAAAAAGTTAATTGTTTGACACTAACTATTATGTTACATTAACATCCAAGCGAAACTGCTTCAGAAACAGGTACGTTAATGGCCCAGGAACATTGCTCTGGTAGTGATGTCTTGTGGCTTCATTTACACTTTAATTCATGTAAATGTAGGTTGAACATATCATAAAAAAGTGTGTAATTTTAATTACATACAACTTACAACCATTGCGTTGCTTATGACAAATTAACGAGACCGTTAAAAAATGTTGATTTGTTTAGATTTTCAACACCTCTCGGATGCAATGTACGTAGAGCCGAGGCACCACAACAAAATAATTCAACCTACCTGCTTCCACCAGTAACACCTTCCAGTTCTTAATCTCCGACAGACGCGATGCAATCACCGACCCTCCCGATCCGCCACCGATGACAATGAAATCGTACTCGTAGTCCGTGTTCCTCGAAGTTTTAGACTGCAAGAAAGGAAACGCAACCACACCCACTCGCCAATTAGTAGGTATCCATTCCAATGGGCAACGGAAAACGGGGCATTACCTTCATCCTACCACAGGGATCCTCCAGGTCGCACTGGGACCGGATAAACACCTCCAGCAGCCCCATGAACAGCATGTACTGCGATCCACCGCAGAGGGCCGCCAAGGTGGCCCCCACCGGTGGAGTCATCGGACAGGCGCAGGATGACATCCTGCGGCAGTCTGGAGTGCTGGTGTGTTAGGATTTACACTTCCTGGAACGGTGCTGCAAAGAAAGAGATAGGGAGAAACATATGAGTCTAATTATGTTGTTCGGATGGGTGTGGGGGTCGATGGTCAACGGTCGGACGTGGTTGAACTGTATGGACGAAGCGAGCAACAAACGACGACTAGACGACCAGCTGAGACGCCACCGAGGTGTAAGGTACATATATTATTATTTCAACCAATCTGGTGTGAAGACGATGTCTAAGGTTGTAATGGGTGGCTTTGTGGATGACCTTCTGGTGTGATGGTATGAAAGAACACAACCCAAGGCAGTAGACGGTACAATTTGGTACAAGGTTATTGGTGATGTGCGGTTCAACTATGAGATCTGTAGCAGTAGAGGCCGTTGCACTGGCTGTGTTTGCCTCAGGATGAATTGAGTTTGTTTTCTAAGCGTCTGTTGTTTATGTATGAGGTGTAGAGCTTTTGTCCGTAGCATTTGTTTGAATTTCAGTGAAAAGATATGCCGTTGAAGAAAGCTACAGTTTCACATTTAGAGGTTCATTGTGTTTCGACCAGATTAAGCATAAATTATGTAATTATTTAACTTAAACAATTGAATTTGGGAGGTTTATGCCATGAAAATAGCATTAGCAAAAAATTTATGTATTCTGCGAGATCTTTGTTGATATAATGTCCATTAAGTTGAATTGTCACGGGTATTCTCTGCTGCGACCAGAGTTTACAATTAGTTCATTTTCAATTTCAGACTGTGAAAATGGAGTCTTCTAAAGCTGAACAGTGTTTAATAGTAAGATGTCAACTGCAAACCGCAAGTAGCTATGAAGAAAACACTGATCAAATTTCTGAAGTAGGGTAATTTAAGTTCGTCGATAACCAGCGTTCGCACTTCTATGGGGAATCTTTATGTGTAGCGTACACATTTGAATGTAATTGTTTGTTCACATTTTCTTACTGCCGATTGCTCTATCTTTTCCCCTCGATGGAGTTGTCGCAAACATTTTTTACATCGCTCAAGTGGCTGTGACTACTGTCGGAAATGTATAAATTTTCCGTTTAAACTCCATGCCAAAAAGCTGTTCTATTGTCGTCAATCCGAGATCATCAGTAATTTGTTGTTGGTGTTATTCAATTTTAGTTAAATCTGGTTAAATGTGTTTGCAACGTCAAAGCAAAAACACCAAGGAATGAAATTTAGTTTAACTGCAATGTATCCTTCAAAAACCGTCCTATCCGTTATCCTATTAAATTCAAATTCAATTGATCACATCATGCAAGAATTTTAAAATGACGTTTCGTACCACTCAAACTTTGCCGTGGAACAAAATTTGGAGTTTTATTCTTCTAGAACCTCGAGAAAATAGGGCTAATTTATGCTTTCCCTTACAACCATTCAATTTGGTAGGGGAACTGGGACCCCGTAAACAGTAAGACTATTTTAAAATAATAGAGAGCTAACTTGGTAGTCTTTCCTATGCAGAGTTCATGTCTAGACAGTTTTGAATAGAAATTGTGAAGAAGAAAGTTTTTAATAGGTTATAGTGACAAATACTGTTTATTACAAAAAAGGGTCAACAATTTACGTACTTATAACAGTGACCGGCACCCGTGTTGATACAAATCATTTCTTCTACACTCAACGTAGCTGAAAATGAAGACAACCTCCCAACAAACAATTTTAGCTGCGGATTAGCTTATACAACCAAAACTAGGCTTATACAGCTAATTTTTGCCTGTATAAGCTAGTCTGTAGCTAAAATTGTTTGTTGAGCTTAACAAATAGACCAACTACCTGCATGAACTTGAATTTTGACATATTAACATTCTTTTGATCAAGGGACGGTCGAGTTTCGAACGCCTTTGGATACGGTTGTGTCTTAAGTTTCTTCTCTGTTTTGTGCGTGCATTAGCTTTCATAGTTTTCGGTTGCATTTGCCGGATTTGCGCTGGCACTCTGCCTCCCAGACGGTTATACGTGTGTGAGTGGTGGTTTTCTCGCTTTCCGAGAAGTTTTAAGCGAACCCCACACGTTTCAATATATTGACGCGAAGGGGAATTATTGATAATAATATTGATGATGTGAATACATAAATATTGTCAATACCGATGTATTGATGTCAATATAGAATGTATTGACAATACGATTATTGTCAATAAAAGGTATCGTGTAGGGTCCACTTTAGAATCGAGAAAGAAAACATGATTAATCATGTTTGCAAGCAACAGAAAATTTGACGCTATCTGCGTTCTGTGATTTTTTCTCCCGGTCCAGAAATTTGTGGCATCGCGAGTTTATTTACGCGGTGATGATGTTGGTTCACTCGCAACTATTTTTGAAAAAATTAAGTGTTTTCGAACGAAAGTGTACCAAAAGTGCTTCTGAACGTGTTTCGTAGTTGGGTGTGGTGAAATTCGTGCATTCCCGGTTGATTTTGGAAATCCGTATCACTAAATTGCCCACCGATTCCTTTTTTTTGCCGTTCGACGACGATGGGTGTGCTTTCGCGAGAGTGACGTTTATTTGATCCGTTTCTTTGCACGGGTGTGTGTTTTTTTTTTGTAACTAGCGTAAGTGTGCCTGCGATTTGCATTGAGTGACGGAGATTGTAAGTAATCTGAAGGATGCCTCGCTGGATACGCCCAAGACTGGACGGGCAGTAGCTGGTGGCCGTGAACGGTACCTGGGGAAAGCACTAGATGCGACCCTCCTCCCTGATGACCATGGCAATACAGGAAGCATTGGTATTGGAAAGTAATTGCTATTAGATATTTTGCAAACAGTGACAGATAGCGGACATAAAGAACCAGTGGAGGAGCCGGGCAAAGGTGTTTATGCTAGACAAATTCGCTGTTGTCGTTGTCGTAGGCGCCGTCGTAGTCGCTGTCGTAATCGCCGTCGTAGTCGTAGGCAGTACCGTTAGTTTATTTAAAATTAACCACCAACCGCTGAAAATATGAATTATCGCGTATTTCTGTTGTTCATTACATGCCAAGTAAAATTCGAGAACGTAATTTCATTTGAATAGCTTGTTCAACCAGGTCTTAAACAATCGTCACGTCGGTCATAGCTTGTTATGATTACCTGAACCATGCGTAAAGAGAAAATCGAAACATTTAACGTCGCGTGAAAATGGATCTTAATGAAGGCCTCTTTCATAGCTTTTAGTTTAAGGATTTCAAAGATCGTCGGTTGCAGTGGCTTGCTTACTGAGCAGAAAAACGCGGTCCCAGATCCTTTCATATTAAAAATGTATGGTTAGATCGCTTGTTTATCGTGTATTTCGTAAAAATTTTCGTTGTCGTCTGTGCCGGGTCTGAATAGTCATAAAAAAAAAAACTTGAGTAACGCTATTATGTGATATGAGGGGCTCGATGGCCTTAGAGCAACCGGTTTTGCTTACTGAGCAAAACATCATGAGTCTAATCTCAAGCCCATCCACATTCAAGATTCGTCAATCGTTTTATTTGTTAACATGACTACATGGTAATAACAGCAACTCGATGATAAAAAAAAGGAGCTCGTCTGCCTAGTGGCAAACGTTTTTGCTTACTGAGCAGAAGACCATGTGACCGCGTTATATGATTGTTAGGACATCAATTCAGCTTATCGTTTACCAAAACGAACCCTGCTGCAAACCCAACCCTGTTACCCAATATCCCAGTGATTCCTCGTGGAAGTGCAGAGGTGTTCTCGGCTTCCATCAAAGCGAGTGTCACGTCAACACATTCCTACCCCTTCCTTTCTTGACCTGTGTTCGGGCGCGGCCGGCGCTGGTATTGCCTAGTTTGAGATCACCAGTTTTTACACATTGAGGATGATTGCTAGTCCCAAGCATCGTCTATTTGTTCTCTGTGTAATTACAGCTCGTCTGGCAATAACAGAGTAGCAACCGTGGGCGGTCAATCATGCTCATGCATGCTCATTAACATTCTTTTGATCAAGGCAACCTCTGAGTCAGCGTTGCCAGATATACCGATTTATCGGTATTTATACCGATTTCCGAACTAGATACCGATGTACAGATAAGGTTCCTCAGAATACCAATTTTTGAGGTTTTATACCGATTTATACTTGAATTTCAGAGAAAATTATTGTTGAATGTTTCAAATTTTTAATGCCTTTCAAATTCTAAAAAAAAAATCATCTTCAAAAATGTCTTATGGATACTCTTTCGATTCATGCTTCAATTTCCTCACCGTTTTTGGCTACCCATGAATCAATAAACAGTCGATGGTTCGTTCTAGTAATTCCGGGGGAATCGGGAAATATTTTTTAAACGTTATTTAACTTCCTGAATTTTCTTCAAACTTTCCCCGGTAATTGTCTTCCACCTTACATCTCCCGCCAGTTTTTTCAACTTTCCCGGAACTTCTAAGATGCTTCCAGAATTTGATTGCGGATCCACACTACACAGCAAAAAAATAATTTTAATATCACATTAAAGTGGATGCACTTCAGTCGTGTGGAAAATATGGTGTAATATTACTTGCCAAAAAGGACAAAATTATCATAAATACAGTGCATGAACTGATATTACGCTGCTTTTACTGCATTTGTTTGTTTTTGTGGTCATAACAATTACATGTGATTTTCGGCATGATTGAAGTGCATCCTCTTGGATGATATTAAAGTTAATTTTTTGCTGTGTAGCTGCAGGATCTTTTAAGAAGTTCTGAAACTTCGGAAAGGTCCAGACTTTTGAGTAAGTTTTAGATAAATTAAAGAATGTTTCAATAACTTCTGTTAAAATTCTAAAACCCGGTCCAGCGAACTCCAGTGAACTAAAGGAAACATCATAAATATTTTGGATACTTCATAAGTTCAAAGAACTTCTGAAAACTGTAAATCATGGTCTACAGAACCCTTATAAAACCGAAATTGTTACTTGGGTATCGTTGTTCGCTAATAAATATCTGGTTTGGCAGGCTATCTGTATATGTGGCTTGAAAAGCGACATTTTCATTGCAACCTGGACCGTCAACCAGGAACTTTACGCGAATGAGTGTCTGGAAAAACGTCTGCTGCCTTTCCTGAAG